TCTTGTCACTACAGGTAGTCCTTGACTTACAACAGTTCATTTAGAGACCGTTCAAAGTTACAATGGCACTGAAAAATGTGACTTATGACTTTTTTTCAGACCTACAACCATTGCAGGATCCCCATGGTCACACGCTTGGCAACTGATTCGTATTTATGATGGTTGCAGTATCCTGGGCTCCCCTTTGTGACCTTCTAACAAGCAAAGTCTATGGGGAAGCCAGATTTAACAGCCGTGTTACTAATTTAAGAGCTGCAATGATTCACTTAGCAACTGTGGTAAGAAAGGTTGTAAAATGGAGCAAAACCCACTTAACAAGTATATCTCGTTTAGTAACAGGAATTTGGGGCTCGATTGTGGTTGTAAGTCAAGGACTACCTGCATTACAGTCCTGGGGGGGGGGGGGCGGGGAGAGGATTGTGTTCCAAAATCATCCGTTGAATTTTGATGGCTGAAAGTAGACTTGAATATGCATTTCTCAGATCCTAATGCAATATCCTAACCTGTAATGTTATATGTATCATTTGATGTTCTATTTAAAAATTCTGGTGGCAAGTTTTGAAATAGCCACCAGTTTTGCAATATAACTTCAAATATACATATAATACCAAGGCCAATTTTATGTAACTTCAAAATTTATATATCATTTGCTTGAATGTAATGTCCAATTTAGAAATAAGGCAGATTCACATACTCTTGAGTGGCACACACATCCCATGTTTAATTTATACATAATTGACTGCAGTGACTTCCTGGTTGAAGAAAAGCTATTTTATCAGACCTGGCAGGTATAACATATTTCATTGCCTGAGGCAAAGACGGTGTTCTTCCTCCATTCCTTATACAAAAGCTTTTGAGTTTTATTTCTACTTTGGCATGAAGAGTGAGTTCTCCACCATTTCTGAAGGTAGCTGACTTCCTTAAACACACAGAACCCTGGCATTTGACTGATGATATTCATGCATCTATATCTAATATGTAATGCATTAATGCTAAAGTTTTACAGGATATTTTTTGGGTGGTGTCACCATAGACAGAACAAGGTAACACCACCAATATGCCATTACAATATACTCCAATATAAAAGATGAAGTCTGCAAAAGGAAAGAAACGGAAGCTAAGAACTTCAGCCTGCATAGCTGAGAATATTTGAGCAAACCATTTCTGTGTCCACAGGACACAGTGGTAATCAGATCTTGTGAGATTTGTTGGAACTAATTAGAAGCTATGTCAGACTAGAAGGAGCAATATTCTGAAAGATCATCCCCAAAGGATTGTCCTTGATGTATCCAGGTTCTCTACAGAAGTATTACTTTGCACACTGCATCAGTGTATAAGAGATACTTCTGAAGTGGATTACTCATGCAAGAGAGAATTATGTATGAGATCTGGCCACTGTTTCAGTTGCATAGTTTAGAAACTAACCCGGAATCAAGGATAAGACAGCCATTTTTGCTAGAAATGTCAAAATGTTTTTGGGAAATACTGATGATTAAGTGGATTCTGGGCCGGGAAAGAGAACTTGATGCTGCATTCCCAAAATACCTGTTTTTATATGCTACTGGATTATAGGATAATTTAACTCTATAGCAGGGGTGAAATCCAGCAGGTTCTGACAGGTTCTGTAAAACTGGTAGCGGAAATTTTGCGCAGTTCAGAGAACCGGTAGCGGAAATTTTGAGTAGTTCAGAGAACCAGCAAATACCACCTCTGGTTGGCCCCAGAGTGGGGTGGGAATGGAGATTTTGCAATATCCTTCCCCTGGAGCGGGGTGGGAATGGAGATTTTGCAGTATCCTTCCCCTGGAGTGGGCTGGGGATGGAGATTTGGATGATATCCTTTTCTGCCATGCTCACCAAGCCACGCTCACAAAACCGGTAGTAAAAAAATTGGATTTCACCACTGTTTTATAGGCAAAGAAACACACAGACTTGCTTCCTAACATGCAAAGGACACATCTCACACAACCATATCACTACTGTTTTTTTCCTTTGTTTTGCTCTTAATAGTTTCAGACTTTCATGTTCAATAAATCTGTGCTTTTATAGTTCTAGAATAGAACTTTAGAATTCTAATTCTAAAATAGAATTATTAGTGACTATATAACACCTGTTTGATGTAAGTGCCTGATACTCCCGGAAGCTTTGTAATAACTAGAACAGGCTAATTTTATCTTACGAATAACATTAAGTTAAATAATAAATTAGGATTGGTAATGTTGGGAAGCCTTTTATTTCAAATAGTGGAAAGTATAAATGTGATCAGAAAGAAACTGGTATAATTCATGCCATCCTGCTGTGAAAATGACAATTCCAGCAAGCTGCATGTAGCATACAACAACTAAAATCTAATGCCTGTGTTCTTAAATGATTTCTGAGAATGATACATTATCCTTTTAAAAGGTTATATTCTAAACCATAATATACTGTTCCGTGGATTAAAACAGCAAGCATTCCATTTTTAATATCTTTTCAAATAGCTGGAAATGACTTTTGAAGTATGCTTAATGTTTACTTCTGACAAGAGTGAAAGATACTCTTCACAGTGGTATTATAGTTTGACAGAAGTATAGTAAAAAGCAAAAATTGGAACAACACAAAGCACAAGTAACTATGTCCTTTGCTAAAGTGTTTCTTTTCAGCCATTTAGAGAAAGCTCTTCACAAGCACAAATCATTGTGTCAGGTTGATGATCAGAATTAACAGTATCTCATTAATTTTACTTAGCACAGAGTTGACTTTAATCATTGCAAATATGATGAATGATAATAAAAATAAAGCTAGTTCTCAAAATTGCAATCTCCTTCTAAGATCTTTTCCTGTTCAAAAGAAAGCAGTAGGCAAATTATTATGTGGCATACAAAAAGTCAGATGACTTTTTGAAGCAAAGTCACCTAACAAAGAAAGATTATGTACCTCTTTTCATTATCCATTGCTTTTATATAATCAGAACAGAAGGGTCTGCAATATTAAAGAATTGCTTTGATCTATATTTGCATATTAAAATGACTATATGTTAACTGAGTACCACAATCCTTGCTGAAGGAGAAGGCTGACAGGTTATGAGCCCAATGACAGCTAAGGATCAAAGAATATTCCCAGGCTGTAGACCCATTTTCAAAGACATGGCAACTTCACCCAAAACAGACTTCACCTCAATCTCCAAGTTAAGTTTTCTCCTTGTCAAAAACTCTTTTGACAGGTTTGGATTTATTTTTAGTGTCTTCTCCCTCATCTAACCCATTATTAATATTAGATAGTTGAAGGGCACGGATTGCTTTTTTGGAGCTAGAGGGCAAGGAGCAATAGCAATGAATAATTAACGTATTTATTTTTGTGGGAGTTGGATGTTGCTACTAAATCTCCGAAGCTTTCCTTCACCGAATTCTCTGACACTCACATTTCTTCAAGTTAACCTTCTTAAACAGGTTAAACAAGAGAACAAGTTCTTCTCAGACTTGTAGAAATTTATTTGGTTAATGGTTTATCACTCTATTCACAGAAATAGTTGAGGCATATGGATTCTGTACCTGAGCAATCCAAACAGATACAAAACATAGTGGATAGCAAGATAAGAAATTGGAAATATTTTGAAATCACTTTCAGCTAAATGCTGAAGCTGTCGAGGTTCTAATGCAATATATGGAGACAACCCAAATGTAAAGCCAGAGCAAGGTTGTACTGAATTTAAGTATGTTGTTGCTCCCATGCACAGCCTTACCCAAATTGTACTCAACTAGCCTGACCAAACACTAGTTAGAACAACAGAAGCCACCAGGTCAGGACCCAGAACGACTCAATATGCTGGCACACTTCAAAGATCCCTTTTTATTTCCCAAAGTCCTTGCTTTATTGATCTGCAAATTTGGCAGCTGCTGATGGGATTAAAGTCTTCCCCTTGCCCAATCTCTCTTCTTCATCTTCTGCTGAAGGGTCTTTTATATGTGCTCTGTCTCTTTAACAATTTGGTACCTTATTATCAACTTTCTGAAGGCATGCATTAGTTCCTAGTTTTATCCTCTCTGTTCCATGCCTATTGCATTTTTAGGTTATGGTTGCAATTTGTCAATTTCAACCTAGTCTTACATTCACACAAAGGCTCCTACACTCAATTGGCAATTTCCTTCATCGCTGTTTTTCTTCATTGCAGTTATTTACTAGGACAGCCACTTACTATCAGAATAGGGGCTGGAAATTGTTGACTTCCTGGCTTCCTTGGTATTGTAAGCAGTTGACACCTATCAAGGAAAAAAAGTCCATCCAAATAGAGCAAAGAGCACCTAGGAAGTTGAAGTAAGAAGTTGAAGGAAGTCTTTTTGCAAAAACATCATGCAGTTACAAGGAAAACAAAGGGAAAGAGGAAGGAATGAAGGAAATCTCACAAACTGACCTATCTTGACTTTACCTTATAAAGATTCAGTCTGCTCTGCAGAAATGCCTGTTCATAAGGTTCAGCAATAGTAAATTTTGAGCTTCCCTTTGCACTGAATATGAGAACTACCAAAGATGGGCTGCAAAAATCTGACCTCTATGTTTATTTTTTATTTTGATGGATGCCCACCACAATCAAAGAACAGCACAACACAATACAATATCGACAATACAATAAATAAAAATGACAACTCAAGTAGTCTAATATAAGAGTCATAATACACAGATAAAACAAAATGAAGCTAAGCAGTCATCTTTAAAGAGTATGTTAAAATATAAAAAATTGCAGAACCAATAAAATTGATGATGACACTCTGTGGAATTTTTAGAAAGTTGTGGAAAGCCAATATGGAAACTGATCAAATTTGAGGCTATTTCATGGTGCAAGCAGAGCCACACAATAACAGCACCTTATGGCTTTTTCAAGTTATAATAAGGGACCTGCATTTCCATCACTAAGTGATGTGGTCATAAAGTATGATGTCACATGACCTATAGTAATCCTGACAGTCACCATTGCCATTGTTAACCAAATCCGATGGGATGTTAGGTGAAGACCCACCCTGATCCAAGCCACTCTTGACTTCCTCCCAGCCAGCCTCAAGCTTCAGTAAGGTAAGAGACTATTCCCACTCACCTATACCCCATCCGTCTCTTCCCTTCCAGCTCTCCTGCACTCTGCCACATCTGCTGGCTTTGCTGCCCTATGCTCCACTCACCATTCCAGCCTTGCAGTCCCCAGCTGATCTTCATTGTCTTCCTTCTGCTGTGGTGTATATGGCCTGGTCCTGTGTAGGGCAGCTGCTTAGCAGGCATCTGAGACCTTCAAAAGTCTTGCAAGAAGTCCATGCCCACTGTTTTCCAAATCACATGAGCTTTTTCTTGTAATGATTAGGAAGGAATTGTGAAAATTGTCTCTGTGATTTGGAGGAAGGTGCAAGCATTCTTGGGAAGAAGGCCTGGCATGACCAGTGGTCATCTTAAAAGGACCATGCCAGGTGTGTCTTGCCAGCAGGAGGAGGAAGATGGTAACAGTCATCTGGCAGTGACAGGACTGGTAGGACTGCCATGTTGCTGAGGCAAACAGAGCACATTACAGAGAGGCTGGCTAAAAGATGGAGTGTAAGGTGGCAAGATCTGCAGGGCCAACAGAGTTGCAGGCAGATGAAATGCAGGATGGAAGTCTGGCAGGTTGCTAGAATGAACAGAACACAGACAGTGAGAACAACTGGGACACTGTACTGTAGCGTAGATGTGGGGCTCAAGATGGCACTCCTTGGTGGCAATCATGGCAGTGTCAGGGCTGAAGTACTACTTCAGTGAAGTAGATGCCCAGAATCGCTGGTGGCTGGCCTAAGGCATCCATTTCAGCCCTATTGTCTTTGTGATTTTAATTTTGACTTTGTGGAAACCTGTCCCTGTTGACATCCTGCTTTGAAGTTCAGATTGACGTACAAACTATTATTATATCCTGTACTTTTGGAATGACCCCAGACAATGATTCTTCCCACTCTTCTGGACTTGTGTGCTAGTATCTCCCTTCAGACAAGCTGCTCAAGGCAGCTGGCAGTTGTGATTCACTTGGGATGTGCAAGTGACTGATTGTTCCATTTGGCCAGCCTGTCTTTCCCTTGCCAATAAAGTGATTACATCTTATTTTGTGCATCTAGGTGGGTGTGGGTATTGACTGGAATCAGGTTAGGAAGGGAAGCAGATTTGGGAAAGCAATCATGTTACTGAAACAAATGTACCAAAAAGTTACAAGGATAATTCAAGGCAAGGTTTCCATAATGAAAGCAGTAGTCTAAGAGGTTTCTGTTTGACAATAATATAATGACACAATGGCCATGGTATCATCTTTCAAATGTCAAACTTAGGTGTTTATGTCACAACGTTTGAAGCAATTAGGTCAGGCATTTGTGTCATAATGTTACCAAGCATCTATCATAATTCATGATCCCACACCCCCGAAAGTTCATACAGAGTTTTAATAATCCTGTCTAGATCTACATATTTCATCATTATTTTAAAGGAACTTTTCCCAAAAACCTATGGCAAGTACAATTAGAAATGTTTAGGGAGGAATGAGTAGATTTCAGACTTTCAGGCTCTGTCCATTTTGTACTGGAATCTGAAGATCCATCATGAAATGCCCAAGGCAGAAAACATATATATAATATTTCCACACAAAAACTAGATTAATCCAACATTTCTTCATTTCAGCTTTACCATGAAGTAGCAAGGTGCAGAAATAATTTTTTTCCTGCTATTTTAAACCCTTGAGAGTCAAAACTGTTCAGATTTACTGAAATCCCCTAAAATTCTATAATAAATCTAAATATATCTACTGGCCAATCTGTTTTAAGGATGGTTAGAATGGGATGAACTGATCTGAGCATCACATATATGGAAGAAGAGTAATGGACAAAAGTTGATTGATTTAGTGTTCCATTTCCTAAAGCTATTGGCAAAAAGTAAAATGAAGAATGGAGAAATGTCTACAGAAAAGGACAACATAATTGAATATAGACTAAAATGTACTAAGACATATGCAGGAAAGATTGATGATAAGAGTAAATAAAGGAGGAAGGAAGCAATGGAGCCTGGTGAGCATGATCAAGGTGAATCACATCCAAAACAGGCCAGTGAATCAAACCTCATCAAAAAACACTCATTTTGGACTTCCTCAGCTAGACATGAGGAGTAGGTGGGGGGAAAGCCCAAGAAAGAATTAGAAACAGCTCTTTCATATTGGAAATGAAAGTCAAAAGGTCATTATACTGTGATGGCAAACATGGAATTATTTATCTAGATAGTTAGAACAGTGTTGAATTAAAATATGGCATAGAAAATAGAAAATAAGAAAATAAGAAAATTGTATATCCTGATCTCTAAAGTTTATTCTAGATCAGGAATGGGCAACTATGCTCCCTTTACAATCTGTAGACCACGGGTATCAAACTCGCCACATCACATTGCCGTCACATGACATATTGTGATGTTTTTCCCTTTGCAGAGCTGGTGTGGGCGTGGCCTGCATGTGATGCATCCTGCCCATGGGCCACCAGTTTGACACCCCTGCTGTAGACTGCCAGAATGGCTAGTTCAGGAATTCTGGGAGTTGAAGTCTACAAATCATAAGGGGGCCATAGCTGCCCACCCATTCTAGAAGCTCACCAACATTGTGAAAGTTGTTATGGCTTATGAGGCACTGAATGATTATTCATCTCAGAAGAAATAGTCATGGCATGCCAGGTTTGATGGAAGCTTGGGCATGGTGTTGATACACTAATTTCGTCAGCAATTTATTGCTTTATACAAAGTAAGTAAATGTAGAAAAGGAATATAAAATTGCATATGTCTTCTATGAATATGCCTCTGATTATTGCATTAACCTTATTTTTAACTTTTCTGTTTTTTAAACATTTATGCTCTACCTTAAATTTAGGAGTTCTATATGGTTTACAAAAAGCAATAATTTAGTCCTTTATCCTTCCATATAATAATAGTAATAATAATGAACATTATAAACGTCTGACACAAATCATTGCCAATCAGTTTACTGCTGCATATTGCAAAGAGGTGAAATTGAAGATTGGTCAACATCTGTCAAAACCTACCTGATAATGAAGGATCCGACAAAAAGGGCAGCACCGGATAACTGCATCCTGCTTACCAACTACTTTCAAATTGTTAACTGGTGCAGTGGCTAATGCAATCCAACAGCATCTATTTGAAAACAAACTCTTTCCACCTGAGCAGAAAAGAAACTGCCCAAACATCAGAGGAACAAAAGATCATCTCCTAACTGACAAGATGATTTTGGAAATCTTCAGCAAAAGGAAGACTAATTTGAATGTAGTTTGAATTAATTACAAGAAGGCATTCAATTCCCTGCCACATGATTGGATAATCAAGTGCCTAGAAATACCCGGAGGCAGTAGAAACATCAGAAGCTTTGTGCAAAAATCAATGGCACAATTGCTGTTCAGTGGTGATAGTCTGGGAGAAGTTAATATGAAGAGAGGAATACTTCAAGAAGACTATCACCCCTATTTTTTGTCATTCCATTCCTCTGTCAACAAGGCTGAACAAGTTATGCATACATACAGTTTCTGCAAGAAATACCATTTCCCTGTATGCAAGAACTGGAAGGATCACAAAAGTGACAACGTAAGAGAAAATGAAGAAACTAAAGTGCTCTGGGACTTTACTATTGAAACAGACTAACACCTGTCACATAACACTCCAGACTGAACAATTGTAGACAAGAAAGACAAAAATCTCTGATTACTAATTGTAGCAGTATATAGAGACAGCAAAATAAATGTGAAAGAATTGGGAGGGGAATCACAAAATACAAAGATGTGCAAACAGATGTAGGATGTCTGTGGCAAAAGAAAGCAATGATAGTATCAATAATGATGGGCACCTTGGGTGCAATCCCAAAATACCTGGACCACCAGTTAAACATCTTTGGAATTAATTAAATTATCACCAGTCAATTAATGGCACTCTACTTGGAGCATTTCACATCCTATGATGATACTTTTAACATTATCAAACAACATCTGCGTATCTAGTCTAAACATCTGGCTAACTGGGTGACCCACCATAATAATATTCATTTTACTGAATGATTTGAGGAATCTAAAGATATTTTAGATAATATTCCTTTCATTAAGGTTTAATTGAAAATTATGTGTGGGGGGTTTGAGTCTATATATTGCTTTTATATGCTTTCTGAGTTCAGTCTTGTTTTCATTTTGCCTACAAGATTTATTCATTTCTTACTTACTCCAACTTACTCTATAAACCCCGAGAACTACTATGCGCTTATAATTTACCACAGATGAAGGCTCTTGAGGAATATTTCCTCTTGTAATTACAAACTGTTTAGTTCAGCATTTTCTAATTCAATGGTAAGAAATAGACAACTGTAATAAATTCTGAAGCTATTGGCTTTGAATATTTTCTCTCTCCCCCCCCCTTGTAACAGCTATGCTGAGGCACTGAAATATTTTGTGAAAAGATCATAAACTGCTGGCAGATATTTATGGATTATTTTTCTATTGCACAGGTCAAATGAAATTCCTGCCCCTGTGTGCTTCGCATAGTTTCACTAGATATTGTGCATGGCAATCAATTTAATTCTAATGTTCAGTAATATTATTCCCCTGTTTCATTGGGAGAAACTATCCATTCATTAATATATTCAAGTTCAGAAATGCATATAAAGTAGGGTTTTTTAAAAAAACCTCTCTGGATTGATTTTGCTGAACGGCTGAACATATACCCTTCCCCAGTTTTCTAATTTGTAGTCTTTACAGTCATTTCTGCTTGGCAATTCTGTCTAGAAAGCTGAATTTTGTATCTCCACAAAATCCAGTCCTAAATTTTGTATCTTAACCACAGCTATATTTACTCGCATAAAACAAACGATTCTAATATTATGGCCTCAGCTTAATAGGACTCAAACATTAAAGAAAAGAACTTTCTTATATAGTTATGTCACCTGAGGCTTTGCTTTTTATAAATCGCTTTGTACTTGTGGGAACTTTAGACCTATAAAAACATATCAACAAGGTCTAAATTACATGTAAAAGTTCATGGTT